TGGGGTCTCTCTCTCTCTGCTCTTCCCGAAAGCAATTATCTCTCTGCTCTCCCCGAGAGCATACCTTATCGGGAAGGGTACCCTCCCCTGTTCGGGGAGCATAATTACGACCCCAGTTGAGGCTTCTTCTGGAGACAGGAAAACTTGGTCCCGAGAAGAACAACTAGATCATACCAAAGTGAATGCCCCTTACTGCTTTTTTACTCTGTTCTGGACAATATTGAGAGACGTGGCAGCCGAACAATGTGTGTGTGATGCTTCAACCCATAGATCGGCTTAGTTCACATTTTCCCAAGTAGTATTGGCATGTGCTGCATATTTATGAGGCTTGCAAGGTGTTGGAGATGGTTGTAAAACATATGCATGGATGCGTTGTTTCTCAAAACAATTTCCTTTGTTATGCGGTCTCAAATCTTTCCAATAACATTGAACCGGGAAGGAAGGATTCCCACCAAACAGGGCTTTCTTCCCAAATATGACAGGGGAAAAACAAAAACTGATTTCGTGATGAATGTTGATCCCTTTGCGACTCTCTACGCTATGCATTTCTATTCCGAATTTAGGAAAAGTGAGAGAGTGTATCAAAGACTTTTGGGCTTTGTGAAACTAAGAGATGTCCGGGTGTCCGCTCAGGAGACGTTTCCCTTGATTTGTGTTTTGCTTCAGTGTAAAAACTTGGGAGGAAATAAAATATATTACCAAAGCACAAAAATCCCAACTGGACCTGTGCAGCTCGAGGTTGGAAAGCGTTCCCATGGTGCTGTTCCCTCAGATGTCCATAACTACGGCTACTACCGTATGCTTTACTACTTTTTAAGTTGCTCATTCCAATATTTTGGGTCAACTCTCCTGCACTATGAGAGAATAGCCGCCATCCTTACACCGCCCCTGTCCACCCGCCACGACTGGATTGGGTTCGAACCGGCATATATTCAGAAGTTGGACTATTCTCGTAGCATTAATTGATCTGAATAAGTCCTGGCATAGGTCTGCAATTTATGCTCCTCCCCCAAATGTTCCTAGTAGAGGTCAAACGTGCGGCATTTGGGAGGTTTACCGTCTCCAACTTTGCCTTTCTTTATCATTATATTTGACGAATGATATCTTTTGAGCAGTGAAGATAATAAAAGCTTAGAAAACTTTAGCGTTAATCAACCCCGTCTGAGGTGTGCTCCCCTGTCAGAATCGCAGTGGCTTAAGATGTCGATCCGGAGTTGTACCCGTGACCATGCCCGTGTGATAGGGCGCCACTTGCCACTACATCTCATCCTCCTGAAGATAATGAAAGCTAGCGCTAATCCAGAGTAAAGCCGAAATTTCGGTGTATTTTAGTGATAACGGTACAAACGAATAAGTAAAGGATAAAGTTTTTGATGTTAAACAATCCCGTCTGAGGGATGCGCCCCGCACTCGACTTCCATTCGGAATCGTAGTAGTGTAATGAGTACGTATGTGGCCTAAACAATGAATTGCGGTGGCCAGCCGATGTACAAGTCAGTGTTTTTATCCTCCCAGACGAGTCTGGTACCAATACACCGACCCCGGAGGGATGAAAGGCTTGGTGGGCATCGATCCGGGATTCGAACCCCTGACCGTGCGTGTGAAGTAGGGCGCCACTTGCCACCACACCACCTCCGCCTATACAAACTAACAGGGTGGACTTTTTTATTCATGAAAAGCACCATTACTGAGACCATTTTTGAAAAGTTTTTTGGAAAGTTCAAAACTAGAGGGACGTAGTTCTTATTTTTGAAGGCCCCACATAGTGACTGGTTGGATGGCGAACACAATCAGTCTGATATTCTAATCATCTCAGAGAAAGGTAGTAGTAGTTCAAGGGTGATTGTTTGGGAACATCTTTCTGGGGCAGGCACATTTGCAGTACTGAAGATCTTCCACACATTTTTTAATCAGATGACCTGAGATGATGTACTCTGGACACCGTTCCTACACCTCTAAAAGGAGTAGATGCGCTTTGAGGCATTGCTCCACCCATGAATACGACAACATTAAGCAAAATTCTAGAAAGAACCGTTTGGGCTCAACAGTGGGACGACGAGTTCATCGAACTCAAACTAAGTTGTGAAGACTGGTGCTTTCCAAGAAATAGGGGTGGTGGCACAAGCGAGGGTGACGGAACTTCTCCCTGAATTCCCACGGCCTGCAGCAGTGGTCCAGCGGCAACTCTCCGTATCCGTCCACTGTGAATACTAATCTTTCCCTTCGCGTGCGGCGAGCACGACATGCCGTTCGGGGAGAAGTTACCAGACCCTGCAAGCGAGAGACCGATGGCACTCGTGGAAATGAACCTGCGTTCTAGCTGCTTCTAGAGTGTACCTTAATCAGTTTCAAGCTTGTCCAGAGTATTGCTTAATGTATGCTTACACACATTCACAAATCCGATTGCAACCGCTCCAACCGAAGCATTTCCATTCTTTTTGCGTCTTGATTGTTCCAAAACCCTAGAAAGAGACACCTTGGCACTAAAGGCGGCAAAGAACTATCTGTGGGGATGACTTCGTTTGGCAGTCAGCTTTTTCTAGGTATTCCAGTTTCAATTCTTATGATTCTCTCCTTTCCAAAAACACATTTGGAATCCCGATCGAAAGTTAGGGATCCGCGTTCCACACTTTTTCAATACTGAACCGTCGAATTACCCTTTTGTTCCGGATGCTAAATAAAGTCATAACAATTCTTGAAAGGGACATTTAATACAACCTGTTGTTGTTGTTGTTGTT